AAAAACACATTATTTTTCAAATACTGTACATTATTGTAGGTCCTCTATGCCCCGCCTCTCTCAAACGCTTCGTTTTCAACAAAGTCCCTCCTTCCGACAAGCGCAGTCTGCTCTGATTTGCTTTGAGGCAAAATTAATGTCACAATCACAGGAGAACACGTAGGTAAGTGAACATAACAACAGCAGGTTTATTCAGGTGAATGGCAGATGAAGACAAGACAGCAATAGGCAGGTGAGTATCCAAGTTTCAGAGATTACCCAGTCAACAATTTGATCTCACAATGATGTCACCATGAGGGTGATCAGTTCACAGCAGTGATAGAAATGAATCTTTTCCAATAAGTTTAAATTGATTTTATTCCTTTTATGGGCATTTTTACCTTTATAAAGCCCTTTTTTCTAAAAGTGTGCATCATCTTTTCAGTCAAATTCTTAAACTGAATCAGTCAATTAGAATAATAAGTCATTTTGGCTGTTACCCATCAAATGAAATCAGTATTGACAAAATTAATCTTTGCAATGCAGAGAAAACACAGAAGCTGCATTAGAAGTGGCATTTAGATACATTTGCACACTGTTTAATGCAGGACATGAATGCATTTAACCTGCAGTTACAAATGCATTAATACCATTTTAAACATAAAACGTTGAATACTGATATTTGAAATTATTAAAATTAAATTAAAAAAAATGAAAACATATCTTAAATGTGAAATTAAAGTATGTTTAAAGTATGCTGCCTTGTAGGTGGCAGCAAGTTACTGTTAATAAGTGAGTCATTGCGACTGAACCGAATCATTTAAACGGTTGATTCAATCAGGAACAAAACAGTGTCATGTTGCTCAGAGACAGGAATTGGAATTATATTTGTTGGCGAAATAGAGCAAAAACAGTCAATATAGTGTGTGTCTCAAGTGTCTTAATATAAAATTTTTGTTTATTGAACTGCTATATAAAATCAAGTTCACTTTGTAATCATGCTGCTTTTTGGTGGAAAAAACGTCAGTCTTCGAGTGATATATGAAATTATATAAATATATAAATAGTTCAGCCATGAAACTCTATTCGCATCCTGATTGGTTTATTCAGTCGTAACGTTTCCAACCAATCGTCTTCACGCATCCATTACTAGTCCCTCTATATAACCTCATCTCTTACAAACCAGTGCACAGTCACTGCGCGCTAGGCTCTCCAGTATTATAAGGATCATGTCTAACATCGACATGGAGGAAGTCTTGTCCCTCGATGACCCCGGTTCAGATCCAGATGACGACACTTCTAACACTAGAATCGCTGACGAAGAACAACTTTCTAACATCCCTGCCAAACGTAGACGCGTCCGTCTGGCCCAACTCCAAGCCTCCATATCAGACTGGCCAATCCCTAGGATCTTGGAGACTTAATTTAACCGTAACATCGCAGTTTCCCGCACCACCAAGCGTTCCGCTTGTATTTATTATACTTCATTCCTCCGGCAGCCGCGATTTCTGTGAACTTAAGAAACCAGATTTTGGCAGGTAATGATATCAATCTCGTTAAAATCCTGCTATGTTCTTCGGGAACCCGGGCTCAATTTCTCTGCATGCTTTCAAAGCAAAGCAAGGAATCTAGAAGGCTCTGGTATTCCTTTATGTATAAATTTCAATGAGTCTGTGTGTCCTTACCTCAAGTGTAAATTTTTGCATTGCTGTGCTATCTGTGGAGACAGTCACCCAAGAGCTGTTTGTCCTCGCAGGTTCAAAGCACCTCCAACCCAATCTTTGAAAAGATGAATAAACATCCATCTACGCCTATCAACGTCCATGAGCTATCTAAGCATTTATCTCTACACCCTAACCCATGCTTCTTTAACTTTCTTATTACTGGGCTTATACAAGGTTTCTTGGCAGGTTTAAGGTTTCTTCCCTCAGGTATTCAGGTATGCAAAAACCTGCTGTCCCCTATAAGAGAACCTGAGGTAGTTGACTCCTTAAAGGTGGGGTATGTATTTTTTTCAGAAACGATTTAGAAAACTGAGTCGGGCCGAGTACCAAAACAAACTTGTAGCCAATCAGCAGTAAGGGGCATGTCTACTCATGATGGGGAGGAGAGAACGCTCAGTGCACAGGACGGATATTAGCCGAGCCAATCAACGACAGAATGATTGAGATGGCGGATAAAAAAAAACAAAAGAGTAAAACGTCTGCGGAACAAAAGGCTTACGATAAGGCAAGAAGTAGGACCCGTGTAAATATCGGATCAGCTTTCCAGCGCTGGATAGAACTCAAGGAGCGGGAAGGCCTGCGATAGGACACCGAGGTTGCTTTGTTTCTTCTCGATAGGCGAGTAACATTGGTTTTGCTTTCACTTATTGATGACATCATACTCTCGGCCGGCTGGCACAGCAGATTCCACCATAATTGTTGCCTGGGTTGCGTACGTATGTGTAGGACAGAGCTATAAAAATAGGGGCGAGACCCTTTTGGGGTAGGGACGTGTTTGTTTTGGTGATTTGAAATATCAACTTTGGGTACCAGAAATCATTTACCCCACCTTTAATTTAAAAAGAACTGAACAAGGGCTATTTAATTGGTCCTTTTCATACCTCCCCGTTTAATGCATACCGTGTCAGTCCCACAGGGGTAGCTACCGGAAAATACTAGTGATGGGTCGTTCTTGAACGATTAGTTCATTTTGAACGAATCTTTAATGTGATTCGGGAAGAACGAGTCATCTCGGGGAGTGATTCGTTCAGTCGCGCATGCATGCGCAACATTCTGTAGGTTCTGTACTGGAATTAGTCAAGTAGTTCACCTGTTTTGAGTCTTCGGGTTTTTTGAGTCGTTCGTTCAACATGTGACAGCCCCATAAGCTTAACCAATGCCGTCTGAGCCGGAAAGAGAATTGATTAGTTAATCTCTCGAGTCTTCGGGTTTGAGTCGTTCGTTTACCACGTTACAGACCCGTAAGCGTAACCAATGCAGTCTGAGCCATTGAGTTGTCTTATTTATTAACTAAATACTAAGGAAAAAGAAAAAACATTCTACATATTTTTCTTCTAACTAACAAGTTTAAAAGCAAATAAAAAACAGATTTATTAAAAGCAAATATTTCCTGTCACTTTCACTTTCCATAAAGATCATGCATAATCATGCAGTGTTTTTTAAGAATAATTTTCTAGCTGAACATATAATATGACTATGATTGTATTATGTGATATAAAAATTTAAACACAGAAACAAAGTACAGTTGAGCTTTATATCTCTGTACACACAAACTTAGTCTGATTTGGATTGAGAGGGTGTTAAAAATCTCAGTATCAGTTGTCTTCTGTTAATGCAGATACTCCTGCAAACATTTATCCATATAAGAGAATGTTTCTTGTTCCGTTTATGTTTGTTTCAATTAATTTCCTTTGTTTGTTGATTTAAAATGATAATACATTTTATACAGTTATAAAGACTACTTTTGGATATTAACAATACTATAATCTAAACTGAGCTGTCATGACTATTACATGCTACTGGACAGCAAAGCTTTAATCTTAACTATGGAAGTATTATTTTGTACTTAGCAGGCTTGTAAAATAATTGGTAGATTCTCTCAGGTGTATGATGCTACGTCTTCCTCACTGAATCCAGCTTGAACAGCCTCTTCAATTCTCTTGATTTTTTCAGGAGGAGCAGCAGGTAGAATGGCAAGCAACTCTCGATCGATCCCTTCAAGTCTTGCTGTGCTCTTCAAGTCTTACTGGACCCCTGAAATAGAAACCAATTTTTTTTCAGATTAGCCGTAAACATGTTGTCTAGTTGGGCCCACCCTAACACCCAGTGTAATCCTGCTTGTAATCCATGTGGTCAGTTTTCATGGTTGCATTGAGGAAAACATGGACAATCCCACTTGCAACCCACAATTTATCCCATGTAGTCCCCACATGGAGTTTGAAGATGGGATCTAGGTAGGTTTTGCATATGTTTCCTAGTTGGGCCCCACCTAAAGCCCACTGAAATCCTACATAAAACCCACATGGGTAAGTTGCATAGGGCCAACATGGAACCCGTGTACAAACCCACTTACAACTCATATTTAGATGAAACCCAGACGGGTTTTGCATATGATCCCTAGTTGGGCCCCACCTAAAGCCCAGGGAAATCCTGCATAAAACCCACATGGGTATGTTGCATGGGGCCAACATGGAACCCGTGGACAAACCCACTTAAAACCCATATTTCAGCCCATGTAGTAACCATGTAGTACCCACATAAAACCTAAAGCTGGGGCCAAGATGGGTCTTTCGCATGTTGCCCGGTTGGGGCCCACCTGTTGGCAAGTGCAGTCCCACATGAAATCCATGTGGGCAATTGGCATGGGCCATTATGGAACCCACGGACAATCCTACTTTGGGCCCACTTTTTCAGCCCATCTCAAACACACATGGGCCCCACATACAAATGTTGGCTGGGTTTATTAATTGCCACTTGCGCATTCACTTGACATAGGGCCTACACTTAACATAAATATAAATTTTTCTTCGGACGACTTATAAAACACTTCTATATATCCACTCAAAAACATTGGATATGCTGTACGTTTTTGTCGATAAATTTAGTCAAAAAATAAAATTTATTTAGTGCAACTTACCTGACACGTGAACTTGACAAGATGGCGCTGCTGTTTCTCCCGCAAAGTCACTCAGGCTCGTGCACATGCAGAATGATCTCAGTGTTGGCTGGATTTGTTTTTAGCATAGCTAATTGTTGACTGGATTTGAAAATAACTGTTCATTCAATGTTTTTCAAATATATTTGTGTAGACTTAATATAATATGGCCTTTCAACTAACCCCAAGCAATAAAATTAGCTCAACTTAAATATTTTTGCCCTTCCAACATTTTGTTAATTGGATTTTTTACAGTGTGGCTTCTTCTGGGACGGGCTCATTAATCTTCGTGATGTAACACATGATGGCAGCAGCAAAATGATCTCAGAAGTCTACAGAAAAATTTTGTCTGCCAGTTTACAGAAAGATGCAACCGAACTGGGGTGCGTTTCCCAAAAGCAACTATGGTCGCAAGTTCCGTCGTTACCAATAGATTTAAATGGAACTATAGTTAGACTATAGATCCTTCATCATGCTGCAAGATAATGACCCAAAACATAGTGCCAAAACAACAAATAAGTTCATCAGGGGCAAGAAGTAGAAGGTTTTAGACTGACCAAGTCAATCTCCAGACTTAAACCCCATGGAGTATGCATTTTACCTGCTAAAGAAGAGACTGAAGAACAAAACCAACAACAATTCAAAGAGGCTGCGGTGAAAGCCTGGAAAAGCATCACAAAAGAAGAATGCAAAAGTTTGGTGATGTCAGTGGGTCACAAGTTTGATGCAGTTATTTCAAACAAAGGATTTGGAACTAAATATTAAGTCTTATTCACTTTAATCTAGTTTAAGTCAATCTGTTCCAATACTTTTGATCACATGAGCAATGGGTGGGTTCAAACAAAAGGTGCTATCTTCTAAGTGTGTATCAGATCCAGATGTAAATACCTGGAAATAAAAGCTGAAACGTTGATCTCTTGTTCATCTTTTGATGTCAAACCCTAATGTTTTTAGTCTACAGCAAAAATAAAGGCATTGGCCTCACTGTTCCAATACTTTTGGAAATTGTGTATATACATACACAAACACATACATATAATATAATATAATATAATATAATATAATATATCCATATTTTTTAAAGAAAACAAGCCGTTAGAAAACGAATAGAGCGTGCAAGTGTTAGAGGGTGCAGTGTGTAGTGTATTAGCCGACATAGGCAAAGTATGCAGGTTGTTAGGATTGCGCTGCCTACAGTGTGTGATGTGTGAAAGATGTATAATTTTAGTAGGGCTTATTCTAATATTACTGTGACCTTAATTGTTGCAAAGGGTACATACTTGATGACTTTTAGAATAACATGGATATTTACTCATTCAGTAGACTCATTTTGACTTACAAATTATGAATTCTACAACACAATTCATTTGTTAGATACAGTACACTCTAAAAATGAATCATGGGTCTTGTAATTTTCTTTAAAAAAATTAAGGTGATAATTAAAAATAGTGTGTATATTTTATTAAAGAAATTGTGCTTCATTATTGTATATAAAATATTGAGAACTTTTCACTAATAAAACCTAGATATGTTTTCCTCATTTTTTTTAAGGAAACTTGCGCAGTTTTGAGGCTTGAATCGAGGAACTGATTAAACTGAAAAAATTAAGGAAATAAGGTGACCTATTTATTTTAAGAGAATTCAATTTTGCTAAATTTTGCAGTTTTATTTTAGTGGTTATTGTTAGTTCCCAGCATGCTCTGCATATGGCTGGATATGGAGAGTAAATATTGAAATTAAGAGCTATTTTATGTGTATTGAGTGAAGGGAAACATCTATTAATGTTTGATGTTCAGTTATGTTTGACATTTGAAAGAGTTTCTGTTACATTGAAATTTCTGTCGTTACCATTGTGCAGAAGAGTAGAGCTTATGGTTATGGGTAACTGCATGTAGTAACACTGTGAGGTATGTTTAATGAGCAGTAGCTTTGCTAATGTTCGTGCAGTACTTTCCAGTATTTATCAAGTATTTTCCTTCTTGAGCTGTCTGGCTGTATACAGTCTTATAATTGTACAAAATAACTCAAAATCAAATACAAACAGCCCTTACTCAAAGTGCTTAACATGATTTATTCAGGTGGATTCAAAAGAAAAATCAAGCCTTAAAAACTACTCAAAAATATTATGTGTAATTTTGTTACCATAATTTAAGTAGATAGCTCATACCATGTTTTACAGTGAAACAATAACATTCTATGCATGGCACTAAAAAGTTTAAAACGTTGAAAAGCAGTAATGTAAAAGCAGTAGGAGATAAAGTATAGTACGACAAATCAACAGTTACCAGTTGAGTAGCAGTAGTATGTTTTAATATTGTTTTCAATAAGGAGGCATTCCATAACATCAATGCATGAAAAAAAAATTAACAGTATCTTCATTCAAGGAAAAATTGATCATGCACAGCTAACTGAGATGCTTTTTAAACTAAATATTAAAAAAAAAGGGAAGCAAAAACATTCTACATAGTTTTCTTCTAACTAACAAGTTTAAAAGCATAAAAAGCAAATATTTCCTGTCATCTCCACTTTCCATAAAGATCATGCATAATCAGAGTATGGTTTTATATTAAGAATCATTTGAAAGCTGAACATATACTATGATTATTATCTTATATGATGTTAAAATTTAAACAGAAACAATGTAGAGTAAATACCTTTTCTGACTCGGCTTTTAAAATCTCTTCACACACATACACTTGGATTAATAGAATGTTAAAAATCTCAGTATCAGTTGTCTTCTGTTAATGACGCCACTCCTTCTTGAGCTGTCTGGCTGTCTGGCTGGCAAACACTGCCTTTATCCATATAAGAGAATGTTTCTTGTTCAGTTGAAATTTGTTTCAATTCATTTGCTTTGTTTGTTGATTAAAATGATAATACACTTTATACAGTTTAAGACTACATTTGGATGTTAACATTATTATAAACTAAACTGAGCTGTTATGACTATTACATACTACTGGACAGCAAAGCTTAAATCTTAGCAGGCTTGTAAAATAATTGGTAGATTTTCTTAGATGTATGATGCTTCTTCTTCACTGAATCCAGCTTGAACAGCCTCTTCAATTCTCTTGATTTTTTCAGGAGGAGCAGCAGGCAGAATGGCAAGCAACTCTTGATCAATCTTTTCAAGTCTTGCTGTGCTCTTCCTGTCAAACTCCTCTTTATTCTTCAGGACAAGCTTTAAGATGCCTTTCTGTGCCTCATCACAGCTGTTCTGGAGCAGTTGTCGCTCATGCTCAAATTCTGGCTTACTTTTATCCATGACCATCAGTTTGCCCAGTGAACTGACACGGTCCATCAGGTACTTGCTGGAAACATCTGTGTATGTTCCAGAGATCATATGGACCAGACTAGCGATGTTACAGGCTTGGAAGGCTTGAGTATAGAGCAGATCTTTTGAGAAGAGCTTTGCATTGTAGGAGAGGGCTTGTGTTTTCTCAGATGTTGAGACAAAGTTTGTGAGAGTTTTGCTCAGGCTGGTTTTCACAATGTTGGAAACCATCTGAAAGAAGTGAACCATCTTCTCCCACTGCACCTTCACTCTCCCCATGGCATCCATTCCTTTGACCAGCATCTCTATGGTAGTATTGAAGTCGATCTCTTTCAGTTTACAATTTCTCATTGCGACCAGGATTTCAGTTAGTTCCTTCTCGTTGTTCTGCAGGTTTTCTACACACTTATCATAAGTTTCTCTTGTCTTGTTCAGCTGGGCCCGGCTCTGCTCTATGGAGAATCGTGCATTCTCCGTGGCCTTCTGAGAAGCACTCATGTTCTCTGACTTGTTTCCTTCTTTATACATCATTGGTGGTGTTGGAGCAATGGCTGGAGAATTTGTGATGTCTTTGCTTTTGCAATCAAAAACTTGCGCTGACTCGATCAGTTCCAAGACCTCTTGTATGATTTTAGTGCTTTTGTCTTTGTCACATTTGCCATCTGGGGCATATTTTGCCAGCTGATTGCATAGTTCTATGCCGTTTTTGCACAAATTCTTAGCTTGTTTCTTTGCTGGGCAGTCAGGTATTTTCTTTAAATCATCAGTGATTCTTTTGAACTGTCTGTTTATGAAATCACTTTCTGTACATTTGTTCTTCTGATCATACAGATTTGTCCAGTTAATGTCATCATCCTCACTTTCCACATTCATCAGATGCTGGATATTCTGGACACATTTTAAAATTTCAGCAGATTTACTATATGCATTTATTTCAGCAACCACATCTCTTACACTTTCCTGATCTCTAATGTGGCTCCAAGTATCAGCTATCTTTGTTGTTGCAGAACACATGTTTCTGACTGGGTGAGTAATAACAGATGTCAGTCCATTAATCAGGCCTGTAACGCTCTGTGTTATACCACCAACCACATCCATGCCAATCATTTCCCATCCACTAGGGAGAGAATCCATAGCTTTCGTGTAGCTCTCATGAGCCTCTTCCAGTTCCTTCTCCATGGCACTCACTGCCTTCTCAGTCCTTTTCTTGGTCTCTTGAGCTGACTGCTCCCTCAGTTTGCTCTCTTCCAGCTTCTTCTTGATTGTTTCCTTCTCTTCCCCATAGAAGTGCTCTGCATTCACACAAGCCTCCAGCAGCTCTTGGATGATTTTGATGACATCAGTGAAGCGCTTTTCAGTTGCATCAGACAACTTCAGACATTCATCTGCAATGACTCTGATATTGTCCAGCTGATCAGGAAGATGAGCTTTGACAACTTCATCATCACCTTGGAACAGAATCTTCACAGCAGTCTTCATGTAATCTGGAACTTGGGCAGTATGGAGGCGAATCTGATCCATGCTCGTATGGGCCTCATTAAATGCCCACCAACCAGAGTTACACACTTGCATGAGGCAAGCGCGATTGGTCTCTTGAGCTGACTGCTCCCTCAGTTTGCTCTCTTCCAGCTTCTTCTTGATTGTTTCCTTCTCTTCCCCATAGAAGTGCTCTGCATTCACACAAGCCTCCAGCAGCTCTTGGATGATTTTGATGACATCAGTGAAGCGCTTTTCAGTTGCATCAGACAACTTCAGACATTCATCTGCAATGACTCTGATATTGTCTAGCTGATCAGGAAGATGAGCTTTGACAACTTCATCATTGCCTTAGAACAGAATCTTCACAGCAGTCTTCATGTAATCTGGAACTTGGGCAGTATGGAGGCGAATCTGATCCATGCTCGTATGGGCCTCATTAAATGCCCACCAACCAGAGTTACACACTTGCATGAGGCAAGCGCGAAAGGAATCAGGGTATTTGATGAATTTATAGCCATCTTTAGGGGGATTTTTATTGATAGAAAAATCTGTTGAGGACGAGATGAATACCAGCTCTCCTAGGATGGCTATAGATAGAGGTGCTGGAGTCAGATACTCTTCCCAGTTGGCATAGGGCTGCATCATAAGTTTGGTTTGGTTTCTCATGTCCTCAGCAGTGGTAAGGCTCTGAGATGTCTTTGAAATTTTGGAATCCATGGCTTTCCTGTTTTTGCTCAAAACAAAGGGAAAAATAGCTTGTTTGAAATGAATAGTTCTGTTGGGAGAGTTTCTGATATTTGTACTGATATTTAATATTTTGGTCTAGTCTTTCTCAGTGTAAATATATGGTAGCACATACAGAATCTGCCACCAGTAGAAAGTAAGTGAATATATACAGGAAATTCACCTTGTCGTTTCTAGAATGGTAAAAATTAACTACAATTCTGTCTTATGGCAAATAGTAATGAAAACAGAGTGTAACAGGGAGAAGTACACCTTTAACCAGAATGCAAATTACGCAGTGCGTGTTAGGGGTCATGTTGAATTATTAATGTATAGAAACCCTGTCTACCTTTCTCCTACACCCATGACGCTTTGTGCAAATTATGGCAGTAACTTTCGTTTACACTGTAAACAATCAGCAAAAGGTTCGCTCTATGAACAAAATAATAAGCATTTTCAAAAACTGGGTACAATGAGGTGATATTTGTACTGATATTTAATATTTTGGTCTAGTCTTTCTCAGTGTAAATATATGGTAGCACATACAGAATCTGCCACCAGTAGAAAGTAAGTGAATATATACAGGAAATTCACCTTGTCGTTTCTAGAATGGTAAAAATTAACTACAATTCTGTCTTATGGCAAATAGTAATGAAAACAGAGTGTAACAGGGAGAAGTACACCTTTAACCAGAATGCAAATTACGCAGTGCGTGTTAGGGGTCATGTTGAATTATTAATGTATAGAAACCCTGTCTACCTTTCTCCTACACCCATGACGCTTTGTGCAAATTATGGCAGTAACTTTCATTTACACTGTAAACAATCAGCAAAAGGTTCGCTCTATGAACACAATAATAAGCATTTTCAAAAACTGGGTACAATGAGGTGACATTATTTTACTCACCCTTCAACCATCGATCATTAAAAGGAAAATTAAAAATGTAAAAGCATTAACAAATTACTTTCAACATACCATGAATAACTCCTAAAGATCCTCCTTCTATCCGCAGCAATATTACAGACATGTTAAATGTAATATATGTGTATATTTCGTAACAATTATATTTTACAGCATCCTTGTGAAAACAAACCTGGAAAAAGACATGAGGATTTGGGCAAAAAAATTAAAGATTTTTAGTGCATTCCAGGGAATTAGATATTGCTGTTATATCATGTCACATTAATATACCAAACGTAACATTATTCTCCCCAGTTGAAAAAAAAAACAGCATATGCTGGTTAGGTATGTTTTGAAGCATGGCTGCTGGTTTGAGCTGGTCCTTAGCTGGTCATGAGCTACAGATAATACATACAGATAATTTCCATGCTACTATACTGGGTCACGAGTGTGCTGGATGATTACTGACGTACAGCAGGGTGATCATATCGGAGTAAAGAGGTTAGGGGAACGTTATAATAACGTTCTGGGAACCAAAAACTAACGTTAGGGGAATGTTATGGGAACGTTAGATTAACTTTCTGGGAACGTTATAATAACGTTATGGGAACGTTAGAATAGCATTATGGGAATGTTAAAATAACGTTATGGGAATGTTAGAATACCGTTCTGGGAACCAAAAACTAACGTTCTGGGAACGTTAAGAAAACTTTCCTGGCTAACCAAAAACAAACCATAAAAAATAACGCTCTGGGAACCAAAAACTAACGTTTCGGGAACGTTCTGGGAACCAAAAATTGTTAGCTGGGTAATCTCTTTTCTAGTGCCGTACAGTTAGTTTTAGGTTCGATATTCAACCTTATAATTAGCTTTCCCTTACCACTGATTTACAGAGTCGACAGTCACAAAGATATCACTACCATTAGTGATTAGTTTAACGATATGCATCCACTTTATATCAACGTAAAATAAAGGAATTCAAAACCGCCTATGTGTATTGTAGCTGCAAATTTAAACCAGAGAAAGCTTTGACGCGCTATCGCACCCAACCGTCTGACAATTCCACCGACTGGGTTAAAAGTTAAAACGTCCAATGTATTTTATTTGAAATTACTTTTAACATTTAAAATAACACACTGTCAAACTGTAAATCTTTTATTACTCATAGTGATTTACTACAGGTGAGATTTTGCCAATAACTCCCTCCATATATGTACAGTACACAATAATTTTCAACGGTTTTAGTACATTGCTAGATAAGACTGAATTACTACAGGTTAGATTTTGCCAATATCGCCCTTACGGTATGTACAGTATACAAATGTATTTTTAAAAAACTACAGTAATTCACCAAAAGTTTTTTTTTATGTTCCAAAGGTTGTAGTATGTTGCTGGTTACAAGACTGACTTACTTCATGTGAAATTTTGCCAGCATCTCCCTTACTGTATGTACCGTTCACAATTATTTAAAACAAAAATAAAAGTCCTCAAAAGGGTTTTTTCATGTTCCAAAGGTTGTAGTATAAAATATTGATCTACTGTATGTACAGTAAGGAAGATATTAGCAAAATTTTACCTGTGGTAAGTCAGTCTAGTCACTAGGAACGTACTACAACCTTTGGAACATTAAAAAAAAAAAAAAAGGTGAATTACAGTAATTTATTAAAAATAATTATATACTGTATGTACAGTAAGATATTAGCAAAATTTAAACTGTAGCAAGTCAGTCTGGTCACTTGGAACATACTACAACATTACTGTAATTGTTTCCTTCAAAAATATTTGTGTACATACTTAGGGAAAGTATTCTCTAAGGCGAGTTATTGGCAATATACATTTATGCAGTTTGCTCACTAGGCATTTACTGTAAACATAAAGCAGCATCTGCGAATATGCAGCCAAAATCAAACCTAAAACTAACTTTACCGCGCTTTGGTTTAGAAAAAATGGTTTGGTGAAACTGTGAGTTGTGGGCTCATCTGCTTAATTGCACATGGTATATTTTATTCATTAGATGCCGAATTTGATCATTTATTATGACTGTCTTGAGGATAAACCACGTTAAGTGTCTTCTTCTTTAAGTGAAATATGTTTAACTTGCAGTTTTGCGCGTTGCGTAACTTGCGTTCATATTCTAATTTCATCTGCCTGTATATAGTTTGCATCATCAGTGAGGTGTATTATGAGTTTGGTCTTTTAATAGCTATCATTGTGTGAGCCCACTGAGACGCGTGAAGCCTTTTATTTTTTTTCCTTTTTTTTGTAACAGATTTTTGACGGAAACAACGTGAAACCTTAAGCAATCGTTCATATTCCACATATGCGTAACTGTAGTCTATATAGTTAGCATCATCAATAAAGTGTATTCCGAGATCTGAGGTCTTCACTGTATTTATCACTTGACTGTATATATCACTGTACTGGTTAATTAAGGCGCGTTACGAGTCGTTGGGGAATCCTGGAGTGTGACATATGAATGGTTCATAGTCTGAAAACTTTAGCATGATGTGGAAAAAAATAGTCGGTTTGTTACTTTATTTTATTAGTGTTCATTTATTTTATTAAACTGGATAAATTACACCTTTTTATATTTTATGTGGTGTCATGATTTACTTTTGATAAAAACAAAGGTTTATTTTTGTATGTTCGTTGGCATTTCATTTATTGTATACCCTTTAAAAGAAGTATACTAATAGCACACTTGAATAAACTTCTTTTTCGTAAGGGCAAGCAAATGTTTGTTCTTGTTTCTGTGTGATATACCGGTAATTGTTCATATATCTATTAAAATACTGATATTCTGGTCTATAACTCTTGGCTCTTAACTCTTAAATCTTGGTCTCTCATTGGCTGTAGGTAATCGCCGATGTAGTTTTCAGTCAGAAATCATTGCACACAGCCTGATTGTGAATCGCCGCCAGCTCCAGATATTTAGCATGCCAAATATTTTCGGGCGTCGGCGACGTGTCAATAGGCTTGTTTGAGATGCACCTTGCCTTGCCTTGCCTGAAATGAAGGCGAGAGTAGGCGGCTGCAGTGAGGGGAGGAGTGAAATAAGCGCAGGCAAGACGGACAGTTCTGACCTCTAGAAGTGAACAGATACCAACGAGATCAAAGGCAGATATCGCGTTATTCTCACTCACGTGCTGTGTTGCTAATAAACATGATATAATTTCAGTTCTGTTGCTTTTATATGAAAATAAATATGATGAACAAGACACTCAAAGTGCTTGCTATTTAATTCCATATGAAAGGTGTATTTATCATCCATTTTTACTTTAATACAAACATATATTTTTGATTTTTATAGAAATATGACAACAAGTTTGTTACTTTATTTTATTAGTGTTCATTTATTTTATTAAACTGGATAAATTGTTACACCTTTTTATATTTTATGTGGTGTCATGATTTACTTATGATAAAAACAAAGGTTTATTATTGTATGTTCGTTTGGCATTTCATTTATTGTATACCCTTTAAATTTGTTTATTGAAAGAACAACAACAGCAGCAGCAGTATGGTGTAACATTTATTTGAAACACATGTATTTGGTACTTGCTACCTTATATCTTTACTCTTTCCTTTCATTCTTTTCATGGCTTTGGAAAACTAGTCTCGGATGTTTCTCTACGTCGCTTTTTGTATAACTCCGGGTCGTCGACACCAAGCTTCGTTGCAATTTCTTTCTTGGAATTAAATGCTTTCTCTGAATCTTTAAAGTCTCTCCACGAGCGATCGTACAGGTGCGGATATATTTGTGACAGCTCAGCTATTCGACACTCCATTCAGTGTGTTCATGTTGCTAGTGACTAGATGTTGTTCTCCTGTCTGAAATCCGTTAAAGGGTTCATATGATGCTGCTAAAAAGAACATTATTTTGTGTATTTGGTGTAATTAAATGTGTTTATGCGGTTTAAGGTTCAAAAAACACATTATTTTCCACATACTGTACATTATTGTTTCT